CGATGCCTTGTTGCTTCTTTCGTCTGTTTTTTAAAAATTCACAACTCTGTGCCGAATGCGAATTTTGGCATCCTAGTGATGAGCAGGATCTGGACCTGGGTGTAAGGGCGGTGTGATCAGTAGGTGGACATCAACAGGAATCATGGAGCCATATAAAGACTTCTCCAGTACTTCTTACTGTGTTGCCACAGAAATTATTCCCTGGCTATTTTATACAGACCTAAATGACAAAGCACGCCTTGGCTTTTGTCATCTTGACCATGAGTTTCTCATTCCCATCTTTCCCTGTAACTTCTAGCCTGTGACGTCTTCATACAACATATCATTCTTACAGACTGTGGGATAAACTTTTCCTTTCTTTTCTACTTCTCCAGGCCTTATTTCTAAGCAACTAGATAGATCTCTCCAATTATAACTAGAACAAAAAGTCCTGGCAAGTTGGATCACATGGGAAGTATTTCTTTATTTTGATTTTGACTTTTGCACATGGTGACTGACGCACCTTCATCTAGCATGAGTGGGTTTCAACTCCCTTCCAAGGTTTGTTTATCAAAGGGTTGGGGTTGGTTTGAAACTGAAGTCACTTCAAAAAACCCACTCCCACTCCTCCCACTCTGTGCTTAGTCTTGGGAGTGGAAAATACCCGCCATGCACTGCCACCTCTCTGTGGGCATTCTCAAGCCAGGAGGACATCAGCTACCATGGGGCTGGAAGCCCTGTGGCTGCATGTGTGGGATCTGTATCCCACCTGCCCATAACAAGTCAGACTGGCATAGACTGGGGTTATCTTCAGACTCTCTGCACGGGGTTGTACAACATCCCTTGAACTTCTCCTATCACCTGCTAGAAGCAACGAGTGACTCACAGGCCATAGTCAGCACCATTGAGGAGTCAAGCCCATGTGTCTTGAATGACACATCACAAGAATTAGTCCCCCACATCCCTTTAGTAATGCGCCCTGAAGTCCTTACGGTAAGACATCTTCTAATCTACGTTCAGTACGGTGAGGTAGAGCTTTATGATGTCCCCATTTGACAGAAGAAGCACTAAGATTTGAAGGATTTATCCAAGGTCTCATATAAAATCCATGCTAAAGCAGGGAACAGATCTCTTTCACATCACAGCGCACCTTGCATTTCAGACAGGATTCGGCTCCTACTGTAGCGACTCACCTCGGAGTGTCCATGGGTGAGTGATGTCTCTTGCTTTACTCAATGAAGAGTTAAGACTTAGTGCAACCATGACAAATGGGAATTCAGCAACATTTGAGATGCTCTAGGACATTCCAGACCTCCATGTGGAGCTGGCAGATGTGACAAACTTGCATAGAGAAGACAAGAACATTTCTGAGCTGGGAGCTGGGGTGAGGCAGGGTACTCACGGCATCTCAAATGACACTAGGCAAACATCAACCAAATTGTTTCCTGAGTCATCACAGCTAGTGGAGCCAGAGCCGTACGAAGGTCGTTGTTTAGACCCATGTATTGCCTACATGTCCACTGAACACAAGGGAAGCTTGGACACCCCCACCACATGGAGACACCTCCATCGAAGACACCTTTGTTTAGGTGTCTGAATCTGGAGCTGAACTTGCCCATCATCTTGAACTGCTTTGATGCTGACTTCTTGCCTTAGTAATTCTGCCTTTCTCAGGGGGACCTAATGAACAGTCCTCCGTGGTAAACACACGTGGCACGGAGACTACGCAACAGTAAATGGTGAAGAGAAATGAGAAAGCAGTGGGAAATAAGACATCTGTATAAAAGGCTAAACTTTCTGAGAAGAGTGTCGGACCAAGGAATAGAGTTTCTGAGAAGGAGAAACCAGACCCATTGCTTGGGATCATGAAAACATGAGTGGACTAGAGTATGATGCAGGTAGCAATCTGATACCGGAGGAGAGGAGCATGAACCACTCTGAGTTCAAGGGAAGGCCCTGGAGCCTTGCTGAAGCTCGCAGGGGCAGGCTGAATTTCAGCCTGTTTTGGTTTTCATCCTCTAATTTCTACCGATGGCCCAGAAAAAGAAAAGGCCACCTCAGAAA